GCAGTAGCAGTAGCAGTAGCAGTAGCAGTAGTAGTAGTAGTAGTAGTAGTAGTAGTACCAGTAGTAGCAGCAGCAGTCGTAGTAGTAGCAGTAGTAGTAGTAGTAGTAGTAGTAGGAGGAGTAGGAGTAGTAGTAGTAGTAGTAGTAGTAGTAGTAGTAGTACGTAGTAGTCGGCATCGCAGTAGTGGTAGCAATTGCAGTAGCCGTAGCATGCAATAGCAGTAGGAGTAGTAGCATTGGTAGTCGTGGTGGTGGTGGTGGTGGTGTGTATGATCCTATTCCATTTCTGGGCGACCCGACTCTGCAACATAGCCGTTGCGGCGAGACGCACTTAAGCGCAGTGCCTGTCACAGCAGTTCTCGGGGAGTTGACATTCACGCACGGACGCCTCCTACCCATTGCCTGGGGATCCATGAATCAACAGGCTACAGAACCTTTGGACACTCGCGCGAACAAAGCAGGCGAGGCTTGTCCAGGTTCGAAGGCTGCGCAAATGGCCATGAGTTTGTCAGAGGGGCTCACTCACACCATGCATCTCACTGCAACGATTCGGCTAACAACCGAAGGACCGACATGTTTGCAGCAGATGCGATGCGAGCCCACATATCTCCCTCCTTTCGAGCAGATGGTCATGGGTTTGCATACGGCAGTCCAGGAACAATGCTACAATATCTTTAGCGGGTTGACGTGCGCGTCGCGCAACTAGACTTCAGAGTGCAGTATCCCACAGTATCCCAGTATCCAGAACACTTCGTTGCAAGTTGCTTGCCGCTGTGCGAGACGACGAGGAGCTGGAGCCTGTCGGACTTTACCAGTAGGGTCATAGAGATGTGGGGTTCAAGGCGTCGCACTTCTTTGGGACTGGTCTTCATAATGTGGTTCAGGTCGGCAGGCTTGCGTTGCGCCGAAGGTGCTGCTACTCCAATTCGACAGCGTTCCTTGCAAACACACCTGGGGCCGGAGGACTGCAGAGGGGGCAAGGACGCACCACTTGAAGGTGATTTTGTGCTGCCTGCAAAGCAATCCACAGCACGGCCAATCAGTCGGTTCTCGTCACCGCAACTGAAATCCGACAGGCTTTGGTGCAACCACGCCTCTCCAGCTGGTGTCGCCAAGATGACAGATAGAACATCGATCTTGCTGCCCGTTGCGAAAGGTAGTGTGACATCTTCGCTAGTGGCCAGCTCGTGTGGTTGCCTCCCAGCTCGGAAAAGATTTCTCTGATCTGGCTCTTCGGGCACATCCATTTTCCAGTGGACAGATAAAAACCCACATGAAGGCATGGCAGCATCGCAAACTGCGCCCAGTACATGCGCACCATGCCACGCCAAGTCACAGCCGGATCATCGGCACTTCGTCCCAACAGGTCATTGCGCACGAACCACATGTTGTGCTCATTATACACAAATTCGCTTTCTAGATCCATCGCCTCAAATGCCACTAGCGAGTAGCCGCGCAAAGAAGCCTCCCGGAAGATTGCGTCGGGAGATGCACCAAAGGTCCCTTCAGAGAATTTCGCCTTACAGTCCAAATCAAACTCGAGCGCAAACTGGAAAGGTGGCGGAAAGTCGTAGTTCACTTCGATCATGAACATCTTGGGCGAGAACCCAGTTTGCAGAATGCTCTGCAATATCGGCAAGTCTATACTGTCGATGTCGATCTTGAGACAATCAAAATCCAGTGGTGTCTGGAACCTGTCCAAGACTTCCTTCATGGTGTAGGGCTGGGCTTTCTCCTTGACGATGAAAACAGCCTTGCTGCTGTTAACTTCTGCCAGGTTGGCCGTGAGATTTTCGTACCACTGAGGGTCGGCTTCTATCGCCAGACCTCTGTAGCCATCTGCAAAGAGTGGATAAACTGGATCATGGAAGAGCCCCTCCCGAGCTCCTACATTCACTGCGAAGTAGTTCCGAGAGCCTGTGTCCGGCAGCAAGGCATCAAGCAACATCTTGAAGGACATCTTGGGAATCCGAAGAGGTAAAGGCTTCCAGGATTCATCCTCAGCAGATCTCATGATAGCTTGAATGTCCTCCCACCTCTGGGCGACAACAGCTGATCCTCCCGCCTCCACACCTGCAAACGGCCATGCCAGCTGCAAGAAATAAACCAGCAAGGTGTGAAAGAAGTGGTAATCTGCCATGGCTGCGTGTTGTGGCAGGGACTCCGAACTTCAGGGAAGGGGCTCAGAGCTTTACCGGAAGGGTGCACAGGGGTGGCATCTAGTCGGTTCAGATGCCAATGCTACTCTCTCGGGGCATATCTGCAAGGTTCCGCAGCAAGACCATGTAGCGGCATGAAGTGGCATCCGCAAAGGCTGAACCAAACCTGCCCCGTCAAAGACAGAAAATAACCCCGAACCCCAAGCACCTCCATTGCCAGATTGTTGACTACTACAGAATCCATTCTGAAGGCCTGCCTCCCAAACTTGATTTTAGATTCTACCTCTTCTGCGAACGACCCACAACAAGCGAAACCTAAGCGGACCTAAGCTGCACGAGCACAACCAGTGCGTGCCGGCCGTGGGCTTCGCTCAGCGAAGCCCCTAAACCCTAAACCCTCTATGATGAAACGTCTTGAAACTGGACTCTCTGATGATACACCCTTCGGCTGCAGGCTTGCAAGCAAGAACACCTGGTAGTTAGCCACTCGTCCACCAACTGGCATTGTACTCGTGACAGTGCTTCCAGCCTCTGAGCATGCGACTACTGAGGAACTTGACCGCAAAGGCACGCTAGTCCGAACTTGTCGTAATGATGATAAACACTAAACCCTGAACCCTGAACCCGAAACCCTGACCCTAAGCCCTAAACCCTGAACCCCTAAACCGTGAGCTCTCCGCGGGCTGCAGAAAGTCAGCCGCCTGAGGTGGGATCCTCGGCCCGGTGCTGCTTGCCTGAAAGAAGTTTAGGGTTTACGCGCTCACATCTCGGACAAGCCGGGCGAAGTTCCACACAGTCTGGTCGGCGTGACACTACACAGTTAAAAGAGCCAGAAGTTTAGGGTTTAGGGCTTTTGACATTCGCATGCGGACAAGTCCTGGCAAGGTCTGAAGACGAGACTTGGCAAAAACTGCTGTGGCCGGGAAGTCGGTTCAACCCCAAGCCATGCTTGCATTGAAGGAGCTGCAACTTGGCCTACGCCCAGGAGCCCAACAACGGACAGCATGCAGAGACTTCCAATTCAAACCCCTGACATTCTGCTCACAATGCCGCTAGAAGAGAAGAAGGCTTGTCCGATGGCTAAGACCAGGGAGGCATCTGTAGTCAGTGGGGATTTGACCGCTTTACTGCCAAGAAACACCAACAGAGGGGCGTGGCATCTCGCCGGGCACTGCGTCATCAGCTTCAATCATGTAGCGTTGGCTTATTATTGCGCAAAATTGTACAGTTGACGATGCTCCTATTCAGCTTCCGACGATTCTTGTGCTTCCTTGGCCAAAGCTGGTCCTTTCAGAGACACCTAGCTTTTTGGAGGGATTGGTACACTGTCAGAGCCACATCTTTGCCAAATCCTTTTGGAACAGGCAACGGCTGCGAGCAGAACAGCAGGAAACAGGCAACCACTTTAGAAGACTAGCAGACTAGCAGTGTTCAGCTAGCAATGACCGTCTCTACACTTCTTCGCCTTAGAGATTCAAGCCTGACATCCTGTACTGCAAACACCTAGAAGTGCCTTGATATATGATGTCTACATTAGGAATGCCGGGCGGCGGCCGCAACCGTGTGTGAATTGCCGTCGTAAGGCACAGTCAGTGTGTGTGTGTGTGCCGGCCTCCAGCTCCTCAGGCAAGTTGCGAGTGCAACGTCCGTCGCAGAAGATTGATAGCGTTTAGGGTTTCAGCAATCACTCTCGGACATGCCTAGGCGAGGTTCCTGGACGCTTAGGGTTTAGGGTTTAGGGCCAAGAGGTTATGAAAAGCGGGTGCACCATGGTGTAGCATGTTCCGTGACATTCACTATCTGACCTCTCTACGAGAGCCCAGTGGCAAAGCTACATGTTGTGCCGCGGCCTGCCTGCTGGAACTCCGCTTCTCTAGCACTAGAAAATCCTCAGCTGAAGAACCAAAAGCCACAAACCGCCAGATCGCAACCAAACGCCCCGGCCCCAAACCAACAAAAAACAACCGAGCCTGAACGCCAACCCCCGAACCTTTGCACCACACTTAGCCCTCAACCAAGCCCCACTCCCAACCGAAGTCCTGGACCATAGTGCAAAGTGGCAGCGCCTCTCCCTGTGTGACATAGTCTTGAATTCACGTGCATGAGGACGAAGTCTTGCGCCGAAAGTGATAATTGATCTGGGTCTACACTTCCAGGGTTGAGCCCTATACCCCAAAACGGTTACAATCCTCAGCCCGAAACCCCGAAAAACCGAAAGCTGCCAGGACGGGAGCACTTCCAGCTCGCGGGAAACGGAGGACTCCTCGCAAAGCCTCTGGGAAGGTGGCCGGGTAGACGGACAGGTGGGCTCGGACCGAGGTGAAAGCTTTCGGGGTTTTGTGCGGGTTGTAGAAGTGACGCATAGTATATCAGAACTGGGTAAGAAATTTCATAATCATCGAACTTCGCAATAGTTTTGAATGATTCGCAAGTTCGACTGACATCCAGCGACACCTCATCTGTTCCGAGAACCGTGGGCACCAAGCCGCATTGATATGCAGCCGGGCTTTGGCGTGCAGCATCCACGGGTGCGAATCAAAATACAGAGTTTCAGCGCACAGGCTCCTAAAGCCTGGAAACCCAAACCCTCAACCGTGTCACGACCGGGGTTCTTGACCATGAATCGTGAACCTCGCCCGCATGGTGCTCAATCTCTTCCTTCGCCCACATCGAGGTATAACAAGCCCGACGCCGGCACTCGAGCTCCTGTTTTGGTACTCCCCCCTGAAAGATATCTCATCCGCCCCGTCTGCGCCGATGTTTCCAAAATTTAGGATCTCACGGCGAAAGCTCGTCCTTCATGAAACCCGAGAAATGCATCATGACATGCGAGCACTTGGATAGATAGCACGATGGTATGCCAGAACGAGTTCCTCGGCCGCGGGCATGCTGCGGTTTGGTAGCATGCAAGTCACATCCTTGAGAGGTTCATTGAACTTCCCCTTGAACTGCGCCTTGCCGTTTAGGGTGTAGGGTTTAGTTGTAGGTTTCAGGGTACGGAGCATTATGGTGTGGCAAGCAATCGCGATAATGAAGGCATGGGAAAACTTGACAATGCCCTAGAAGCCCACTTACCCTTTCTAGTAGGTTCTGCCCGTCTGAAACGATCACTTCTAGGTAGCTGCTACAAGTATGGTAAGCTACTAACCCGAGAGAACCATGGTTATCAGTCCATTGTGGTAACTGTGGGCTTCCAGGGAGGGCCATTGCGGGCGCTGGAAGAACGGTACTGGAAATTATCCAGTGCCAGCACTGCGGCTAGAAAGTTGCCGGGCAGCACCCAGGGTTTTGCGTGCAGTTTAGGGGTTTAGGGTTTCGGCGCTTCTCGATTTGTGCGTTCTGGTTTCGGGTTTCGGGTGTCAAGAAGGTACGGTGACGTAGGCTATGCCCACAAGGACAAGACTCCTCGCCACGAGGTACTCTAATTCAGAAGAAAGCGGATAACCGGGGATGCTAGCAGTGGTTATGTCTCGCGCCAACTCGACTTTCTAGTCTAAGACTAGAGCAGACCCCTGACAACTTCGTCTGAAAACAGCAAGGGAGCTGCTCACATCGAAGGAAAACCTGAAGACTCATCTGGACGTCAACACCTTGGTACTGTTCTGAAAACCCTGTGGAAACTGCCCTGGAAACTGCTGATTCCGGTTCCACGGACGAAGAGTATGGTTGCCGCCCCCGCAGGTGCGAAGCACCACTCTGCCATATCTGCCATCGCACAAGGAGGGCAGCAAACACCGCCCAAGAGACCTAAACATCTCCAACTGGCCGGCGGCTTGGACGAAGGTCCATGCATGGTCAATCGAAGCCAATTTCAGGAAGATCATGGGAAAGAGGCCTTTGCATCCTGAGACTAGCTGCTCCAAGCCGTGAGTCAAATGCTCTGACGAATCACGGGCCTCTTTCCAGCACTTCGAGCGAGCCTTGTATTAATTCGAAGATACTAAGCCTGCAAAGGCGTGGGTACGCCTGGCTCCCTTTCCACAGACTGCTTTCCCACAATAGACGACCGTCGACACTAGCACGAGCGTACACCTACAAACAGGGGGCTACTGCTGCACCCTCCCTACTGAGACTTGCTTTGTCAGCCCCCAGTTCCCCCGTTCCACCGACACACGGTTTAGGGTTTCGGCGCTCACACTCGGACAGTCCAGGCGAGGCAAAGGGTTCGAGGTCTGCAGAGTGAAACTAACTAAACATTCAAGGTTTACGGTTCAAGGATAACAACGAAGCAGCAAATAGTAAAAGACGAGAGAGTGAACAGAAATGCCTCTCCTGCTGGCATGCAGCGCCCAAACAACTCTAGGTATCGAAAAAGATATATAATCACAGCGTAGATCCTTCTCGTGAGCAAAGTATGCAACGAAGCCCGAAATAGCCCTGGCCTATCATCGGCATGACGCACCACGTGTTAATTGCAGGCTTCTAAGGTCTCTTCAAGGAGACTTCTGCCCCGGGTTCTCTCCCTTGGCGCTCGCTTCTAGATCGTCAATCTTCTCCTCGGCCATCTTCACCTCGATGTAATGTATGTATACATATATATATATATATATACACACACATTCTCATATATGTATGTATGTATATGTATATATATATATATATGTATAACAGAGAGACCTTTTTTTCGGAGCCCTTCGGGGTCATATTTAGCATAAGTACATTTAAAAAACCCCAAGGAACAATGCTGGTAAATACGCAGGCTTCTATGTTAACCAGTCCAAAGTCGGTCTGGTTCTGGGTTGGCCACGGCTTGGGGTTCGAAGTTCGATTAAAGAGCAGGGTTTCAGATAGTCTTGCATTCGCAAGTCCATTGCCCTAAAGCCTAAGCCTTTAAACAAATGCCGGATTGACGAAGACCGGGGCTGCTACTGAAACAGATAATGGGCGAGATTCTTGGTGCGTAGTTGGACTCTCGCGACTCGAGCTTGGTGTGTAGTTAGTGTTATGGAATGCAGGTTTCACTAGAGTTTTTGAAGCCAAAGGTTCCTGTTTTCCTCAAGCTTAGGACAGTAGAAGCACCTACGACGGACCTACGAGAAGGGACTGTGATTCAGAACAGCACCCACTTAAGCTTCCACGGCCCCAGGGCCGGGACAGCAACAAGAAACAGATTGCCAAACAAGAAAGCAACACTTGCCAAAGAAATCGGGCCACCTTGGCCTGCTGCTGCTTGATGGCTTGATCCTCTCGTGGGACAAGTCAAAAGAGCTTCGGACCAAGGATGAGTCTAATATGGGGGGGGTCTTCTGAATAAATCGAACAGGGTTCTGCATGGGGTATATTGTAGTAAAATAGTTGTAAAGGAACCCGGGGGTCGTATTGCACACCGCGAACCTCAACTCTTGACGCAAGACGCCAAAGCCCAAAGCGAAGCCCAAAGCGCTGAACCCCAAAACCCATCACCCTAAGCCCCGAGCGAAACCCTTGCAACATGACATGCGCCCCTCGGCAAACCCTGAACCCTGAGCTCCTCCTGAAGTTCATCCATAGCGAGTTTGGCCTGGACCTCTCCATACCATGGTGCGATTAGGGTGTGTTTTGCACTTTTTTGTTTACAATTAGTGGCGTTTTGTCGGGTATCGCTCACGAGTTCTATTGTACTGTACATATGGGATTTCGGTGTCTAGGGTCTTGAAAGTTTCGGGATTCGCATTCGGGTGATTTATGTGGTTTGAGGTGCGTTGTTTCCCGTCGTTTAAGGGTTTCGGGGTTCTGGGGCAGGTCTATGCGATTTTTGGAAATGTTCATGGTCACCTGAACGACAGCTCGTACGAGTCGTGTCTACAGGCTGAGGGCACCAGGTGAGTAAATCTAAAGGCTTCAGGCCCAAAGACGTCGAAAAGACGAAGCCGAGCAACCCCGCGATTTGCCTCCAGGAGGCCTCTTCAAAGCAAACCGGGGTGGGCCCAAACCCAGGAAAGAAGAAACTGCAGAACCCTTGTGGCCCTTGTAGAGCTCTTCGAACTCTTCTAGAGCAGCATGGAGCCTTTAACAAACCCCTCTGCCACCCTAAACCCTACACCCTAAACCCTACACCCTAAACCCTAAACCCTAAACCCTACACCCTAAATCCTAAACCCTAAACCCTACACCCTAAACCCTAAACCCTGAGTTTAGAGACCCATTGCCTCGGCGTCCAAGGCCGCCTGCCGTAGGTGATCCTTCCTGGGTAACATGACGGCTTGAAGTACCCAAAGGGTCCTAGGTACTGTTATGGGGGATGCTTTCCCAAAGCATAATAAGATCTCCTAATAGTAAAGCTCTACATTTTACTATATTATCGGTACTTGGGGCCCTTCGGGGTAGCGTCTGCCCAGGATTTTGGGCTCTGCGTTCTATGTTGCATGAACCGGGGGCGTATGCGCATCAATGACCCCAAAGAAAGGGCTCGGGGCCTTCATTGCCACTGCTGTTCTTTGGGTTCTACTCAACTCTGCTGCTGATGATGAATAATCTCAGTACCCTTGTTCGCACTATTCTCCACTGGCTCTTCGAAGACTCTAAGACTACGCCTATTACTGCTGTAATTCTGTTTGGTGAGAACTGTTTGACCTGCTTTGCTGTACGGTTCCCGGTCTCGAAACTCTGACGCCGCTCAAAATCAATCAGTCAACTTACCTGCTTAGGGCATTACGCCGTGTTTCGGGCTCGGGGGTATCTACTGTAAGGAGGGCTCAGGGTGTCGAGGTAAATGCGATCGCGTGAGTTTGGGGATGCCAACGAGCATGACCTACCCAGATTCCGGGTCTGTTTGCACTGTCGCCAAATGCCCCTGAAAATGAGGCTGATATAGGATGATATAGTTTAGTCTAGTATAGGCAGTGTATATTATGAATACTGCCAGATTCTCCGGCATTCGGCCAGTTTGGCAAATTTATGAATGGGAGTCGGTCGTGATGAAAGTTGTCGGGAAGTCGCAAGCTAGAGGTTAATCCCTGGCGTTTTTGCTTGGGGCAGCTTGTGGTGGTACTCCTGGAAGCGAGGTGCGTGCAATTACAGTCGTGGAGGTGAGTTTGACCGCTGATGCCCCTTGAAGTGCACTGCATATGCTACGAAGCCTTTTTTTTCGCGACTCCTGATGCAACAGTAGAACTTTTGAGACTCAATACGACGTGTGGAAGACAACAAATGCTAAGAAGATCTGATCTTCTACTTCCGGAGATCACCCAACAGTAAATCACCATACCAGAAGCATGCCATTGCCATTGGGACCAGAAAGTCACGACCACTGTCACGTGCGAACGGGCCTGGATTGCTTGGGAAAACAGAGGTCGCAACAGCTGCGTTTTTCGAACTTTTCGGCCATGTTACCACCCACGACAAACACTGCGACCAGGACCGGGAGACCACCAGGAGACCAGCAGGAGACCAGCAAGAGAGCAGAAGGAGAGCAGAGCAGCAGGAGAGCAGTAGAAGACCATCAGGACAGCACCGGCGAGGACACATGAGGACACTGCCAACATGCTGCCCCCGAAGTACTGGTGGATTCAGAACGCTCACGGTACTGGAGGGATTCAGGTTGATTTGGGAGCACGGTGGAATCGATTTACCCCGGCAGCCCCAGGTGCGAAACAGCTTTACCTCGGTCCAAGTAATTGCTGGTACAGTTCGGAAGCAGCAGGCCTATACTTCGCACACACCTTGAAGGTATCCACAGCTGTACTGTGCAAACCACAAATTCAGGACCCCCCCCCCCCATGATGCACGTCGCTTCGATGAACGACGCGGCACAGAGATAGCATACCGCAGGCATACACAAACCTACAGAAATAAGTATGTCTGTATATACCATTTACACCTCACATTTTTACACAAGCGTATACTTACACATGTACACACAAACAGTCTTCATGTATGCACATATGGGCAAACATGTGTGCATGCACGCACAAACGAACGGACAGATAAATACCCGTACATACATAAATGTCTATACATACATGCATACATACGGACATATAGACCTACACACATACATGCATGCATGCATACAAACATACATACATGCATGCATGCATGCATGCATGCATACAAACACACATACACCATACATACATACATACATACATACATACATACATACATACATTCATGCATGCATACATGCATACATTCATACTAATTCATACATACATACATACATACGTACATACATACATACATACATACATACATACGTACATACAAAACACAGCTACAAACACACACACACACACAGACAATACGTGCGCACGCGCATGTGTTACATCTATATACCTTCATTGCCCAGCAACAGGCACTGCGTTACTGCATTGCTCCTGATTGTGTCCTGCTCTTCTTTGAAGGATCGTGCTGCGCATTACTTCCCCAAGTCTCGTTCCCCTGCCAACGTGTAGGACTGCGGCGCATGTTTTGCTAGTGCAGCGACTTCTCGCGCCTCAGTATCCTGAAATTAGCAGTGAACCCACTCTACAACCAAGGCCAGGAGAGGAAGGCTGTGGGGCACAGGGCTTTGAGAGTGCAAACTTTGCGACATGTGGAGAGAGTGTCTGAGGCTTTCTGGATGGTGGCAATCGATCATAATAGATAGGGTCTGGTGACAAGCTTTCCCGCAACTTTTTGCTCCATGGATGCGCCCGATTCGTTGCTGCCACAAAGTCCTGAGATGCAGGAAAGAGCACAACACCCGAACCCCAACTCATAATGTAGTCCCAGCTTCAGTGCCTCTCCCAGAGCCCTGAATCATCCGTCCAAAAACGGCAAACTGAAGAAGTTCAAAAATCCTGTAGGATCTTGAAGATGCTGAACCCCCATGAACCTGACGAGGCAAACCTGGGCCAATATTACCCAAGTGAGGCTTCACATCCAGCTGGCTTGACCCCGGCCCGAGTTGAGGTGCAGTCTATGTAAATTTTCTTTTGTCGTGCTCATGCTGAGCATGCAAAAAGATGTCTGCCATTCGGTTTCGGTGCTTTTTGCTTGTGCATTGCTTGACCGAGTCAGAGTTTAGGGTACGTTCCGTCTCGCTCTGCCGCTGCACCCTTCACACAGACTCAAACCTGGCCTAGCAACGGTCAGTAGCCGCCGCCCTCTTGCTGATCGTAGCCGTAACCCTCGTCTTGGGCTGGCCTGTAGGCAGAAGGAACTTTGGCATGTGCCATCAAAACTCACAAGAGCAAGCCTGAGGATTGTCACGGCTGCTATCCTCATCGTCCCGCAGCGTTACACTACTAGGGGAAGGCAGGTGAGGCCTGGCTTTCGATTCGGCCAGTCACACCAAGAACGAACCTGAAAGCCTTAAGCCCCCAACCCTGAGCCCAAGCTCGAGTGTCAGGGAAAAGGGCCAATGAAGCTACAGGATGAAGGGCTCTTGAAGGGCTCTTGGGGTTTAGGGCTTAGGGTTTAGGGGTTCTTTGGGGTTTAGGGTTTAGGGTTTAGGGCTTAGTGCTTAGGGCAACGGCTGGAACATCGCATGCTCTAGTCGAAGTCGTTCCAAAACTATTCTCCCACTGCACCTAGGTGGACAAAATCTATTGAGCCCCAAGTGTGTGGTCCAACGGTTGAGGCTATGACCACAAGACAATTTCCACTTCGTATTTCTAGTCTTTCTAGTCTTGCACCCAACTTACAGCTCGGCTCTGTCTGGCGTAGAAGCTGCGGCTGGTTGAACTAGAAAGCAGAGGCACCTTATTCTAAGCGCGCATGTGAACATTTTCATATTCTGAATAGTCAAATGACCCTTCCGCACACTACACCCGAAGCCAGGAGGCCAAAGATTTCGAAATCTCAAAGACCGGCTGCAAACAAGGCTTCGGCGGTCTTCCGATAGTTCAAAGCCCTGACTAAATGCGGAAAATAGTTATACAGGACCACAATAGGCTATCTATATATACTATATATATATATATATATGTATATAAAAACAAATATAGCATATATACTTATATAGTCAGAACCTGATGGCTTCTTGTTCTTGAAAGCCCTATGTTCGCAGTGTCGAGGCACATCATCGGAGGAGCTTCCTCCTTGGGCTCATGCACGATCACGTTGTCAGGGAGCTGCATCTTTGGCCCCATCTTCCCTGCAGATTAGAGCTCCGTGATGTGTCGCTTCGGCTTCTGTGGATGTTTCGGGTTCGGTTCTTGGCCAAAGATGGTGTCGCAAGTTTTGGCGGCTTGTTTGAAAAAATCTGACTCATCTGGTTTAAGTTACCTGGTGGGGAAGCCTTGGCTGTGGGTTCAGATGTGACTCCAAAGCCTAGAACAGACGCCAGTTGGAATGTAGCCACCCGCATCAAAGAATTTAACAGCTCCTGCTGCGAACTCCTGCCTTCTGCGCTGTTTCCGGCAATGAGATTTTCAACATAATTTCAATAGCAGCCTCAGCATAGATCAACCCTCACACACAGTCACTGGTCTGCTGTGACAGTCGCTTATGAGTTCTTGTCTTTACCGTTGGTCTGGCCTACTTCAACAATCCAGACCCTCGTTCTTCATGGTTGTCTATATAGTCTATACCGGACAGCACCACGCATAGCATGTCGCCTTCCGGGTCATGCGACATCATGATCTTCACCTGGCGCAAGGCAGTCATACAGAACTGGGTGCCCTTCTAAGAGTTCGAGAGGAAAGAATGCAACCCTTCGCGCGCCGTTAGTGGGAAAGAGTAACAGTAGTGGTAGTAGTGGTAATAGTAGTAGTAGTAGTAGTAGTAGTAGTATAGTAGTAGTAGTAGTAGTAGTAGTAGTAGTAGTAGTAGCAGTAGCAATAGTAGCAGTGGCAGCAGTAGCAGTAGCAGTAGCAGTAGCAGTAGCAGTAGCAGTAGCAGTAGCAGTAGCAGTAGCAGTAGCAGTAGCAGTAGCAGTAGCAGTAACAGCAGTAAAGCCAAAAGCACAAATAAAACTAGCCCTTCAATAAACTCCTTGAACTTTCACGCCACACCGGAACTTTGCGCCAACGCTCGTTGTATGTTCGCACGTATAACTATCTAAATATATATATATATATATATATATATATATATATGCATATATCTATATATATATATATATATACATATGTGTGTCCGTGTGTCTGTGTGTGTGTGCATGACCTGAGGATAACCGAAAGGTGACCACTTCAACATGGTCAACAGCTTCGACTCCTTGAATCCGAAGCTTGAGCAGAAGTTGTTGAGGCTTGCAGCGCCTTAAGAGTAGGGGTGTTATTCTCAAAATGCCATGAGAGTAGGACTGTCGGTCTCGGGCGTCACTTCCTGAGTCTTCGAGCCTCAACACATCACAGTGTGGGGCGGATGTCAGTTATCGATACACTCTTCACAGTCTTTGAGGTGCATGGTGCTAATTCGGCTTCAGCTTGCCCGGCTTGCCCCACTCATCACAACAGAGCCTGCCTTGATGCCAATGGTTCCCTGCCGCATCTGCACATGGCGGACTGCTTCGGAGATGTAATGGCGCTTGGGTTCTCCAGTAGAGATCCTCGGTTCAGGAGCCCTGCATTCAGGGTCTTCCGACTTGTCCGAAGCTTTTTCCCCTGGCCGCTACCGATCCGGCCGGGTCTGCTCACGAAACAGAACCAACATGACAGTTCTCTTGGTCCTGCGCCCTGTCACCTTGAATACGGCTGAGTGTCAGATAGCCCTGTCTGAACTTCATTGCCTCAGCTCAGCGTCAACAACAGCAGCTTTGCAGCTCAGAGCAGTGACTCCTTGGAACCTCTTATTTGCCTTGGAACCACTTGGGATTTAGGATGGTTTAGGGTTTGTTTCGCTCTCGCAGGGCTTAGGGTTTATGGAGTTTTGGGTCTATTGTAGAGTTTAACTGTTGTTTATGGACATTCGGAGCTTGGACTCGGACCGTCCATCGGTGTGGGCGTTTGCAGGCTTGGGGCTGAGGGTCTCGGGGTTTCATCTCCCAAGGGCTCCAAACCCTCAACTTGCACGAAGACCCCTGAAGGATCTTGCTGGGGAGCCTTGGCTCGCTGCGCTCGCAACTTGCCGCTGATGATCACTTCCACACCCTTGGCGCCGTTCTCCATGATAAACCTGCTTCCATGCAGCCGGGCCGGGCGAAGTCCAGATTCACACTTGGGATTGCTGCACTCAAGCAAGGAGCCTTGCGCGACGAGCCCTCGTGACAGCTTTCGGAGGAAAGCTGCAGTTTGCCCACGGCACGGGAGGGTTAAAAACTCCACGCCGGGCATGTTGATATCGGTGCGGTGTCGCGTTTCTTGTGGTTCAAAGGTTAGCACAGGCTTGAAAACTCAGAACGAGGCTGGGCACTTACACATGTCGAGATAGCATCTTGAAGCACGGTAAGCGATATCCCTCCTCGCGACCGATCGGCAGGGGTCATGACCATATAGTCGCTCTGTTCGAAACAACCACACGCTCCAAGCGAACAAGTACAGATTGCACTAGTAAAACTAGTTGTTGCATGCATTCCCACCCTGGCTGCTGTGGAACAGACACTCCTGGGACTACCCACAGGGCAGGCCGCACGGTATTGCGGAATTACGGGGTGCACGTCCCCACAATCTGCCCTTGGTTTGTATGAGCCTCTAGAGTTCAGGGGTGGGTCCCTTGTGCCATTGGCCAGGCGGGCCACCCTGTCCTGCCAGAAGTTCAGGAGCGTGCTAGTGTCCAGCTTGCCAGGCAAGGTCTACCATCGACTAACGGAGGCAGTCATCGCGGACGATCAGGGACATCACGGATGGGCGCCGTCAGGCATGGGCACTCACGTGTCTTGACGTCAGGGCAGCATACTACCGTGTGCTGCGACAAGTGCTGCTGGAGCTGGGGAACACCGAAAAGGCGAAAGGCAGGCTCATGCATGACCTCGGTGTATCGGCCCCGGCTTTGGGGGGAGCTGTTTGAGTGCTTCTCTGAAATCGGTGCCCTGTCCTCTGCGGGAGCTCCCCTGCAGCGGACTCTGTCCGATGCATTACAGGCCACGCGGTTCGGATTCGCCTTGACCTTTACGCACCGAGGAGTGCGACTCGGGGACAGCCTGGCCGACGTGTTGTTTGCCTTTACGTTCAGTGCCCATGTGGCGTCTGCCGAACGGGCCCGAGCCGCTGCCAACTTATCCTCCCCGAAGCGGAATGTGTTCTCGTGGGTCCGGGCAGACGACTTCGTGCAGATGTCCACACAGTCATGCCGACGGACCCTGACGGATCGTGTCACTATCTTTACGGAGCAGGCGAAGTCTGTTGGAATCCAGGTTGCCTTTGCAGCCGATCAGACAGCTTCCATGCTGTCGAATGTTGAGGACCAGAAGCCTCCCGTTTGCGGCGATCCGGATGTTCGTTCTCTTTCCTTCCGCAGTGCCGTTTCTGGCAGGTGGCATCGTCTTCCAATTGTCGATGCTGATCGTCACCAGGGTGGAATCGCGACCGTCTCGGGCACTCCTGTTCCGGAGGTCTGTTCTCGACATTCATTGGCCATGATGTCGATCCGGCCGCTCCGGTTCAGATTGTTCCCTGCCTACGGCATTCCACAGAGGACCCGCAGTCATCTCTTGCGGTCCCTTGCGGTGCCCCAATATTCTTTCGGCGGTGCTGCACTCCATATGCATGCTGCCATCCACAAGCAGTTGTGGGCGAAGCATTACATTGCCCTGTGGCGCAACCTGTGGCGCCGGGGCAAGGACGAATTGTCTCGCCACAGCTTTGCCGTTCTTGGGCCTGCAGGGGCACCACCCCCTCCGTTGGCGCTGTCTCGTGCGGTTCTCCCCCAGCAAATGACAATGCCAGGGCCTGCTACTGTGCTGCGGCTGTTGCAAGTTCACTGGCGTCCAGGCTTGGCTTGGTTGCGGAAGACGTCGCACATGTGTCTCAGCAGACTGCACGGACGTTGCTGCACAGCGCCGAGCCGGTGACCTTCCTGGTCGAGGCGGTACGGGACAACCCTCGGTGGTGGGTCAAGGAGGTCAAAGCATGTCAAAGCAGCCTGCAAGCTTGCACAGCAAGATTGCTCGGATGCTGCCTTTGCATGCCCATGGTGCCCGGCGTCCTTCAAGCACTTGGGGTACACATGGCCAAATCTCATCGCGTGTTCTCCCTGCGCGCCATCTTGCACACGGGGATACATGTGCCAGCTGCCTGAAATGTTGCCGCACCGTGGCGAGGCACCAATACCATCTCAGAAGGTCCGACAGATGCCTCTTGCGGTCCTGTCTGCTTGTGTCCCACCTTTCCATCCATGAGGTTTGGGAGGTCGAGCGCTCTGAAAGGCTGCGAGGCAGCAGGCATATCAAAGGAGGCGCATGGGACGCGTTTTCTGCCGCCCTGCCTACGTACGATGCAGGCATATATGGGCCCTTCCCTGTCACAGCCGATGAGCGACTGGAATGGCTCGGCGAGGATCTTGATGTTGGACTTCTGTCACGGATCTTCAAACCTGATCGGAACCTTTCTGCGCCTGGGTCGAGTCCTTCGTAGAAGAGCGCTCAACTGAGGGACGGAAAAGCAGCGCTGCTTCATTTCGGGACAGACGACCTGCCCACCTTTTGTTTCACTCGAATTCATAATGCTTGGGATGCGCCGCTGAACGGCTCTGAAGTCCGCAGAAGATGAAGAAGAAGAAGAAGTAACACTACTACTAGTCAGAACTCCCGAGCCGTGGTTCCTGCCAAACTTGCTAGCCACCCCACTTGTTGAGGATGCCAGAAGCTGGTATGTTTGCCTTACCCTGGCCTTACCCCTGGCCCCTTGCGGCAGTCCCAACTCACTAGGCCTTCTTTTTTACCACTACAGGCCACGAGACATGACGAACATGTCAGGGCAAACCCATCCAGAGCAGCTTGCTGTGAAAGCACATGCGGACTCCATCAACAGAGAAGTTGATTTACAATTATAATTGAAGCCACAAGGGGGCATGTCGTAGCAACAGTTGTCGTCTGAATAGCTCAAACTTGAAACTCGCGCCTCAGCACGCCGTAGCCTCAGCTATGAACAGCCTATCTGTGCTCATGTTGACTGTTGCTGCTATTTTAAACTAAAGCGTGTGGCGCATGCTCCACAATCGAGGCTTCTAGGCCCGTCATGGGTTCCTAAGCGGCCAGGGCTAGGACTGTCTCCTAGGTTCTGAACTCAAAGGTGCGTAGATCGACGAAACGGCTCTGCAGTGCTCGACATTGCTCGACTACGTCAGCTGGGCAAGGCCTCAACATCTGACTCGCGAATTCTCCGACTGCCAACACGAAACATGGTGCACCTAATGATAGTCACGCCGAGGATTTTGCGGCCATGTCAAGCAGGGTATAGAAGAAGAAAGGTAGACAAGGATACTCCGAAAAAATAACTCAGCCTGTGCGGTTTTCCTAGCAAGCCTGAGCGGCAATGAAATCTGGGCCAGGCGGCAGGCACGGCGCACGGCCAAGCCGCCGATGAGCTTGAAGCGGAGTGATTCACATTGCGCCTTGAGTTTGGGGGTCTCTGGAATTTCATGACCCTAACCTCGAAGTTGTCCACCCCAGCATTAAGTCGAGTTGACGTGCGCCGCAACTGCCTGTTCCTAAACTCCGCGGCTAGCTGTATTGAGACACGTGCCTACGTGCTGGTCGACATATATGTCAGGTATGGCAGGGGAAGCTGACATAGGAAGAAAGCGGATCTGCCACGTGTCTGACAAAGGACGTAAGAGTCTCGGAGGATGGACTGTAAATTCAACGCGGGGTACTTGTTATACGACACATGCGAAGAATTCGGTGTGCTGCAAAGGGACAGATAGGAGAGTATGAAAAAAACACTCTTTGCAGTGACAGCCATTGAACAAGAGAGGAGAGCACAAAAAAAAACTGACTTCCACCCTAAACCCTACAGCCCTAAGCCTTAGACTTAAACCTCAACCCTCAGCCCTAAACTTCCTAAGCTCCAAGGCATAAGGTCGCGTGAGGCGAGGGGCCATGGCGCAGCTGGCTCGATTTTCAACGCGCTCGGCGAAGAGCTCAACACTGTTCCTTGGCTCCAAAAGTCCGGGATAGTTCGGTAGCCCATTTGACAACAGACCTTCACCCCAGCAAAGAACCCACACCCACTAGGACCCAACCCCGAGTTCACGCCACGTGGAGGTCAGGGTTCACGGTTGTGGCAGATAGTTTGGGGTAACCACATCAGCCTGCTTCAGCTGTTTAGGTACACTATATCGGCCTCCGGGGGTAGGGCACTCTCAACCTGCCAAGCATCTTCTGAAAATTCTGGCTGCGAAAATCCCTCGCATCGCAAAGGAACCAAATATCCTGAAACATCAAACAGCATTCCCCTAAACCCTAAACCCTAAACCTGAAACCCTCCAACCCCTCCCCCGGAATGCCCAACTTTTCTGCCCTCATTCTTCGGACCCTTTCTGCCGTGCTTCTCCGGAAAGCCAAAGCGCTTCTGCACCAAAGCCGTCAGCTCTCGAATTCTTCGACCCTTCTCTCCCAGAACCTCCCTGGTCCTGGCCGGGTCTCGCGGTTTCGGGTCTAGGGTCTTAGACTCTGGAGTCGGATTGCAGCGTTTCGACTCTGGTTCATGTCTGTTTCGGGCTTGGGATTTAGACTTTCGGGTGGGCGTCGTAGCTTGGCGAACCGAGTTTAACCCCCTCGCCTGCACCCAAATGTAAACCCGATCAAGTTTCAGCTCTCACAGCTCAGCACAATCCAGCTGAAGCTGAACAGGAGCCAAGCCAAGCTCTAAACCATTTGGGGCCTCAGCAAAAAGCAATGGTATCTTATGATGCAATTTCGGGACTGTAAAGGGACCCCATGCACAAATCGGGCTATATTATAGTTATAAAGGCTATAAAGGGATAATAGCTCACTCTTCCCACTCCTATAGTAGCGGCAGCAGCACAAACAGTAGGGTCTGTGGATGTTACTCTGGCAAATGCTTGTCACTACTACAAGTGTCCGTCTTCTTAGCAATTGGTGTGATGTCCTTGTTGCCCCTATTAACCTCTCATCAGCCAGGCAGCCACTGAAGAAGATTTTCCACATCAGAGATGTGGTGCTTATGAAGCCTACTTGGGGGCCACCGGGGCTACAGATTGAACCACCTGAACAGAGGAATCTCTGCTGAAATGACAACTCGCCGGCTGGGGTCCGGGTGAGTGCGGCAGCCTTCAAGACAACTTGTGCCGAATGTGTATCCGAACTCCCTGGTCTAGGTCTAGTGCTAGAGAACCCTTCGGTAGCTTAAGCGTCGTTGCACTCAGCTACCATGCTGTACCACAGGCCATCAACGATGCCGCCGCCTCGTGGCACGGATGATAATCTCGGTCCGAATCGGCGTCACTCGCACCTCCACGCCAGCATAGCCATCCTGCTCGGTGGGAATCAGATGCTGTCGTGGTTCAAAGTTGAGGATACTGCCCGAAAGCCTAAACCGAAGGGGTAGCCGGAGAGTATCCGACGGGGATGTTGAGCCAATTCTGGCTTCTGCAAGTGTCCGTGGGAAATGCAGGACATTGCTCTTGCTGCTTGGTTCCAGCCACGTCCAGGAAGCAGGTAGCAATGGTCAGGTAGGTGGGTGGGTACCTTTAAATGGCCCCCAAACCCTCAATTATAAGGAACCCCCAAAACCTTATTCTAATCATTAAGGACCCTAGATTAAACCTCGGAGCTCACCCCCCTTGAATGATCCCTGCACTGGTCTACAGATCTTGGCAATAGTATATGAAAACAGCTGCTATTGCTGCTGCTACCAACTACCGCCACCACCACCACCACGACGACGACGACAACTACTACTACTACTACTACTACTACTACTACTACTGCTCCTGCTGCTACTACTACGACTACTCCTCCTACCACTACCACTACCACTACCACTACCACTACTACTACTACTACTACTACTACTACTACTACTACTACTACTCTACTACTACTCTACTACTACTCTA